TCCAAAAAATACAACTTTCGGGGCCGATTGGACACACCGGGACATAACGGGATGACCTCCCACCAATGTGGGGTCCACCCCACGTTTTTGTTTTCTCCAATTGACTGAATGGGAGCTGGAAGAGACAAGGAAAGGGGACTGGGGTCGGACTATAGGTAGAGGGGATGGATGGAGGCCAAACCCCATGTCCTACACAATAACTCTCCATTTGATTGAGGAGAGTTGTCTCCTATCATTTCTCACCCTCAATCATACGACCAAGGCAAGGAAAGGAGCTCAGGAGAAGACCCTCACAAAGCTCATAGCTTGAAGGAAGCAAGGAGCAAAGGAAATCCAACCCAAAAAGGCTAGGAATTAAGGTGAGAACTCAAATAGTTCTTGTAACTAGTTTTTGTGTATGATTTTTTTGAGAAATCATATGGTGGATTAAACATGATGTTCTACACGTTTAAAAGTGTAGAATATTGATATAAAGTGGTGATATTTAACTGATAAGAGTTGGTGAATCGATAGGAGTCGAAATCGCCGGAAACCGCCACTTTAAGGGAGCTGCCCGTTTCTGCAGAACACGAAAGCCGCCCGGCTTTCGTGAAAGCCGCCCGGCTTTCGTGAAAGCCGCCCGGCTTTTGCCCAGGCAGTCCAGTTTTGCCTTTCAATCGGCCTAGAACGGGGATTGATCGAGGGGCGTAACAAAGGCAACTATTGTAGCACATCACGAGGTGAGGATGGCTGACTATATTGCTTATAATTAGTGAGTTAATTTCATAAGAATGCCTAAAGTAATTAGATGGGATTTTCATGGATTATTAATGATTAATAATGCTTAAATGAAAATAATATGGATATGAGTAAGTGAAGCATGATATACAAATTTAGAATAATTGTGTATGATTATGTGAAATGAATGGAACGACATGTTAATGGAATTACTATGATGACATTGTGATAAAATATACTTTACTTCATGTATGAAATTTATGAATGGATTAAAGTGATATTTTTGATATTGAGATCAAACTATACTTGGGTTGAGAAATCAATGGAAATGAAATGCAAATTGGGAAATAGGAACTTGGCATGTTCTAAGATTGTCCAATTAGTATCAAAATACTAGTCGGGGAATTAATATAAATAAATGATGAAACAAATCCTAAGAGGTAGGATTGTGAATAGATATGCCTTAAGTAGTCTCAAGAGATACTTAAGGATGAACGGTATGAACACTAAGGTGTGATAGGGGTAGGCCTAAAGGCCACCTCCGGAAATTGATTCTAGGCATAGGACTTGCTTGAGAGTTTGATTATGAAAATAATTAGAGTTGGACTCTAGGATGACATGGAGATGTAGTTGGGCCGAGCCCATGCCATGTAATATGATTAGCATGGAAACGTAGTTGGGCCGAGCCCTTGCCATGTATATGTGACCTCCGTGGAAACGTAGTTGGGCCGAGCCCTTGCCACGAAGTTATGGTTGGTATGGAAACGTAGTTGGGCCGAGCCCTTGCCATACAAATTTTGATATGATATATCGAGTTAGAGGATTGTATAGAGATGTAGTTGGGCCGAGCCCATGCTATACAATTGGGGCTCGATGGGACCCCACGGGGTTATCGTGACTTGCGGTCACGGGGGAATGGAAACGATGAATTCTAAATGAATATGGGCCTACGGGCCGACTACTTGACTTTATGTAAAGTAAGTACAGTTAAAGGTAAAAAGGGTAACCGAGGGTTATGGCCTATAATATAATAGTACCCTAAGTTGGGGGTCTTGGAAATTAAAACGTTGATTATACTTAGTATAGTTGCTATTGTACTTGTCAAATATTTCCAAGTACTGACCTCCCCTTCACGGGGGAGGCCACCTCACAGTTTCAGGTAGAACTTGAAGGTTGCTACCGGCGCCCGTTGCTTCGGGGATTTTCAAGGGAGAAGGCGTGGTTCGTGCTTCTTCTGTTTCCTGTTTTCAAAACAATTATAACAATGCTCATGGATATTATTTTTGAAAGATCATTTGGGGGCTTGTATGCCCATGTTTGCCAAAGTGTGGCTAAGACATCTTTATTAAATGCTTCCGTTGTTTTAAATGCATGTTTTACATTATGTTTGTTTATGGATGTACTATGTGTGAATGGTATTCATGACGCCTTGTATAGTATGGATGAGTTGGACTGCGGTTGACTATTCGTACTGTACGGCGGGTTGTTGACGTGTTCGGCTAGGTCCGGGGCGTGACATGAAATACCTAGAAGATCAGGTCGGACTGTAACACTGAACAAGAAGTACTTCAATGAAAACATGTGTGTGGGGATGAGTTTTGATTGGCTTAACTTGACATGAGTAGAGTACTGCATTCATGTAAATGAAATATGCCTATGCTTTTTGTTGGATATGTAAAAGAAGTGAATTGTTTTTTTAGCAAATTATGTGGAATGTGTAATATGATGTAGTGCTAAGCATTGTTTGATATGCTATGTAATGAATTTAATGTAAGGCAATCCTATGATGAATGTTTTTGTGAAGACATGCAGGTGCAGAATGCTATGATAAATGTTTTACTTTATACATTTGGTAGATGCTTCACTACATGGTGTAATGTAATCTATATAAAAAAAAATCCAGAATTAACTATAGTAGTTATATAATGTGGGTGTTCAGTGTTTACCAATGCTCAGGCCAACGGACTGCCAGACCACGCAGTTCCGAATGCCACTTTAGTGGCTGGCAGGGTATCTGACAGTCCTATGGTAGGGGCCATAACAACCAGTAACCACCATGACCAACCTGCATGAATTTGTATTGAAATGGAAGTAATATAATGTGATACATTTACAAGTATTGAAGTCTTCCACAACTTCAAATTAACAACACGTCATTTTGGTTTAAATAACGGCTCTTCAATGAAGAGGATCACCGAAACCACAACAATCAACCGTAAAAGAAGTCTTCAAGACTTGACCAACAAAGGTAGTTTTGTATGCATAAATGTCATTTTTATTTGTAATGAAAAATTGACAATCTTAGGCTATGAACAATGCTTTGTATAAGGGTAGTTGTACATAAAGGTTTTGTCAAACTAATTTGAATAAAGGCTTTGAAAGTGAAACAGATATTAATCAGAAAATCAGGCCATTTTAACAATAGCAGTTCAGAATCTGTTTTCAAGAACACCAGAAATACAAGAATTCTATTTACAAAACATTTGAACAACAGGCTTTCAAAATGCAAACATATTTCACAACAATTTGAACAAGAGGTAGTTGTGAGATCTGTTAAGCCAAATGACCTAAAGACGGTAGACATAAAAACAATAAGATCTGAGATCATTATGTATCACTCAGACTTCGTAGAAAATTGTCTAAAATTCAGTTAGATGAATGGTCACAACATGCCTGAGATGATTTATAATCACACAACAATTGTGTCATTCAAACCTAACCAATATAGACCCAAAAAAGACAACAGATATGAGATCATTTATAATCACGCAGCAATTGTGTCGTTCAAAACTAATGGAAATAGAAAGAATTGTATGCAGATCTATAATAATGCGAAGTTTTTTTTATTTACACAAGAGGCTCTTAGAGTTACACTATGTTAAGCAAAATCATATACAAGTGCAAAACAGAAAAAACAATAAAGTCTGAGATCATGGAGTATCACTCAGGCTTCGTTAACAATCTATACAATAGAAAACAAACATTTCAAATATGAATAGATCGAAATAAGACAAGAGATCTGAGAACATTTTTTTAAAGTAATCGTATAGATCTTATTCGTCACATTCGTATCTGATAATTTAAATCACATGCAAGTGCAAAGAAGTAAAAACTACCAGGTTAGAGATCATGGAATGTCACTCAACCTTCATACAAAATCAACATAAAAAAGAAAATGAAGGAGACATGAGATCTGAGATCTTTGAATCGTTACTGAGTGTTTTCCGCCCGTAGTGGTCCAATAAGACCACATCGGCCAAATGTTTTCAACACCGGATTATGAATGAAGAAAGATCCAAAAAAGAATGATATGAGATGTAATCAAACAATAAACACAAATAAAAAGAATTAAGAGATATGAGAGAGATATGTACCACAACCTAAAGTGGTAGGTCTGAGATCCTTTGGTATCACTCAGGCCAAGCATATGGTCATCAACAATTGATGAAATCGTCATTGTAACCCACAGTGGAGAGCAAGAAATTGTTGAGGGCGATAAGCGTAACAAAGAATAGAATTGGAAGTACTTTAGTTGGGCATTGAATGGTCGGAAGGTTGTTGAAGGCATTGAACGACAATACAGACAACTGAAGTGTGTAGAAGGCAGCCGCAGGATAAACGTTCGGACTGCTAGGTAATAAGAGTTTGTGAGATGGGTAGAGGTCTTATATACGGTGGGTTGGTTGGGCTTAGGTCATTAGGCTGGGCTGTTGGGCTGAGTTATTTGGGCCATTGTTTTTTGGAGTTGCCTGAGTTATCATTACATATTTGAAGAGTGGGCTGGGTGATTTGGGTTAAGTTATTATTATTATCATCATAATAAGTAATTAAAAATTATGTTATAATACTGTTATTATCATATATTATTATAATAATATTTGATTATTGCCAATATGAAATAATATTAATAATTTTATAAATTATTATTCAAAAAATAGTATTATAAATTATTATAATATTATTAATAACATTGTTATTGTTATATACTATAATTGTTATCTTATACGTTGTTATATCTTATAATGAAATAGTTATGAAACTAAACGGTGAATTTTTCTTAGATTGCAATAAAGATTTCTAAAAATATAGCATGTAAAAATATATTACTACTAATATAATTCCTTTAAGTGATGTATCATTATTTTCTTAAACAATTGCTAATTTATTGTTATTGTTGATAGTATTCATTATTGACCAAATGAAATAATATGAATAAGATAATAAATGAATATAATATTATAATATTATAAAGATATTGTTATTGTTATAACTGTGAGGGTTCACACGGGGCTGGGCCGCCTGGTTGATGCCGATCTTTGATTATTGACGATTTGGAGTCCCCCCTTTGGAACGAAATCTAGGTCATAGGTGGTCAACGGAGTCCAGCCCTAGGAGATGTTTCAGATGCTGCCGATGGGGATTTCAGCGACACAAGCTGTGGCCGGCCTTCAATAGCCTGGCACCAATCAAGGGAATGACATGCGTTCTTCTCTTAATAGGCGGTTTAAAAAATCTTCACAAGTACAATAGGCGAACACATGTGGGAAGCAGCAGCTGTACCAGACAGAAACGGGTCATACTTCTCTCCATTTACTTCTCTCCATTTACTCTCTACATTTTTTTTCACGCTATCTCTCCTTAAAAATAATAAATAAACATAATCTTTTCTTTTTCCCTACCCCACCATTTCCCCACTTCTCTCTATCTCTCCTACTGGACATTTCCGGTTAATGGAGAGGAGCAAAATCCGACATAAACGGGACGAAACAATTGGAACAGATGAGTTTGTTGTCTTGATTGAGAGTAAAATTTTTCAATTTAAAGCTTTGAACTGCACTAATGTTCGTATTTCTGAAACAAAGAAAGGCATTACATCTGCAATCGATTTTGATTTTACTGGGATCACCTGGTTAAAGAACTCCATACTCAATTTATCTGCTAAGTCTGAGCTAAATAAATCTCTTGTAGTTCTCTATGATGCAAATCATTTTGGAGGTTTTATCCGCATCATTGAAAAGGGAAAGGATTCTTTATTTATTCCTGAGGGCCGAAATCAACAAGGGATTGATCTATTTCTTACGGGAATTACAAGGGCGATTGCTTTGTTGAAAGAAACAGATAACAAAACCGTAGCGGTTGAACTTATTTCGGGGAAAGGTTTTAATGATGAGATGATAGGCAATAATGAGTTAGAAATTTAGCTTTTTATTGGGAATAATCTTCATTATGAAACGGAAACCTCCATTTCGGGAGCTTTACTACAAGCTGATATTGAGTGTTTAAATTTTCCCATCATTCTCTGGATTTGGTTACTGTCGATGAGGTTCAGAGCATTGAACATATTTCTGATTTTGATTCATTTGCAAATCTTAAGGAATTCTTTCAGGCAACCTTAACAAATGGGGTGGAATCACTTTCTCATTTTCTACTCTGTGAATTTGAGAGACTTCTCGTCTCTACTTTGGATAACCACGACAGTTTGAGATTGAAAAACACTGGGGAAGGAAATTCTTGTACAACACAGAATAATTTGGAGCATGTCAATAAGAATGAGAAAACATGTGATGTTGGTATTTTGAGCGATCTTGCGGTTTCGGATTGGGATTATGCAAATACAGGTTTTACCGGCAATCTTAATGAAGATTTTGATTTCGAAAGGGCCTTTGTGGTTCATGCTCTACTCTTTCAGGTGAGGAATTCCTTTGTGGTTCATGTCTCGGAAAATGAAAAGAGGGTTCCTATCTCGTCGGTGAGCGATCTTTGGGACAATGATGCAAATGAGGTTATTTGTCAAAAATCCTTGCTGGTTACACGAGAAAATTTTTTACCCACTCAAAACTTGAATGCTCGAAATAGAATGTACAAAAAGAAGAACCTCACATCACATCTTATGAGGACAAGATCTCAAACACGAGCAGATCTTTGAAGATTATACTGAAGACATTGGTTTTTCACACAAAGTTTTTTAAGAGGGATTTTTATAAGGTGTTTGTAAGAGGAATTTTAAGAGGGTTTTTTCTTACTCTAGGTTGGGTTTTGGTTTCTATTTTTTTATTTATTTATTTTCCTCTTCCTGTAAAAAAAAAGATATTGTTATTGTTATATACTATGGTATATCTAAAATTACAATGAAATAGTGGTGAAAGTGAAAGTTGAAATATTCTTATCTAATTACAATATTGTATGGATTTGTTTACTTTGTCTCTGGTCCATATGGATTGTTTTCCAAAATTTGGTCTTATTATTATTATACGATTGTTATATGACCTATTGTAAATCTTAATACATTGGGTATATATTGAACAGAAAATTGTGACCCCAATCACACAAAACTCATACGACGCCGTGGTATTACTCCAATACGTGATTCTATCAAGACAACATCAAATGAAGAGGCAACCCCGTCTAATGTGTCAGCTGCTAAGAGAATCGGTAATTGTAATTATTTTGTTCTTAATATTTCTTTTTTATATTATTAATATTACGTATAGTGGGCTAAGTTATTTGGGCTAAGTTATTGTTAATGTCATAATAAGTTATAAGTTATAAGTAATTAAAAATTATGTTATAATATTGTTATTATCATATTACTGCTAATATAATTCATAATTCATATTCAGATGTATCATTTATTGTTTTAAATAATTGCTAATCTATTGTTATTGTTCATGCTATTCGTTATTGATTCAAATTATTATCATTATACACAATGATAAATTGGTGATCACTATTATTATCTTATTATATTTGATTATTTACAAAATGAAATAATATGAATAAGATTATAACTGAATATAATATTATAATATTATAAAAAAATATTGTTATTGTTATATACTACAATTGTTAGATTATACATTGTTATATCTAAGAATTATAATGAAATTGTGGTGAAAGTGAAAGGTGAAATATTCATATTCTTATCTTACAATATTGTATGGATTTGTTTATTTTGCCTCTGGTCCATATGGATTGTTTTGCAAAATTTGGTCTTATTATTATTAATCGGTTAATATATGACCTATTGTAAACTTAATATGTTGGGTATATATTGAATAGAAAATTGTGATCTCAATCCCACAAAACCCATACGACGACGTGGTATTACTCCACTACGTGGTTCTGTCAACACAACATCAAAGGAAGACGCATGCCCGTCTAATGTGTCAGCTGCTAAAAGAATCGGTAATTGTAATTATTTTGTTCTTAATATTTCTTTTTTATTGTTTTAAATAATTGCTAATCTATTGTTATTGTTCATGCTATTCATTATTGATTGAAATTGTTAGAACCCAATTTTGATAGATTTTGATGATGTCACTATACTTAGCTCTTGTACATTGTGTCTTATTCATTTCGAGTATTAGTATTTAAATTTAAGCATAAGTGACAAATAAATGTACAATTTTTTAGACTAATAAAATTATACTGGAAATTTTAAAATGCAATAAGGTAATTTTTATTTACCTTAATAAGATATTTAAATCCTATGAGTATAAAATTATTTGACACAAAAAATAATCTTGTCACAAGATGGTAAAAGTAAAAAAACGTACAAATCTCATATACACTGCATTGTATGATTGAAGACAAAATTAGATAGATATTTAATGTTGAAATGTACATGGACCTACAAGCATGGGACGCACATAATGTACATGGACCTACAAGCATGGGACACACACAATAAAAATTTGATCTTGATATGATCTCTCTGCGGCTAATAAGTGAAGACAAAGAAAATCACAAATATCTGCTCCAACACAAGAAGACAAACGGCAACACTATCTGCTTTGACTCATGCTTAATCATCCTAACCAACGGATGAGATTAATCAACCAGAAAAGCCTATAAATATAGGCCGAAACGAGAGTTTCTAACCAAGCTTTGAGCATCAAAAGTAGAGAAAAACTCCGCTAAGCATTTAAGAGATATCTAGCAAAAGAGAAAGTGTCAATTTAACTTTACTCTCTGCTTTGACTCATGCTTCACTAAACTTCCAAGTTACAAATCATCATTGCTATATTCTGGAAGTTTAGTTCCTAGTTGGAGGTTAGAAATTTCTTGAAACAAATCATAAAATACATTGTTGTAAGCACTCAGGAGAACAGTTGTTCTAATCCTAGTGTGGATAAATAGATAGAGTACATTTTGATTCCCACTGGATCAATTGAGAAAATTCTAAAGGACTAAGTAATTTGGAGTGGTGTGTACTCCTTGTGAAACATCTTTCAATCTAGGCCATATCAGTTGTAAAGGCTAGATTAGGCACTAAGTGTATTGGGCTTAATACTTTAGTGGAAATCCATCTGAAAGAGGGTGGGACTGGACGTAGGAGGATTACACCACATCTGATCCAGGATATACTGTGTGTTGATTTACATTCAGTCAACAGAGCACACACCCAACACTTCTCATTAAAGAAAGTAGTCTGCTAGCAGTATCTTCAGCAGTAGCCTCATCTGACGCCACTGCTCAGCCTACTGCTTAATTACATACTTTCTTTGAGACATTTTTGCATTGCAGAACTCTTACAAAATCACTACAAAGACGTGTGTTCAAACAGTTCTGGGAATCATAACTCAGCAGGTACCTCAGCAGTTCCCTGGCAATCACCCAACTACTCAGGCCACTGCTCCCATAAACTTCCACTTAAACTCAGTTGTGTACATTTCCAGAAAGCTCATATCATCCTAGATAAGTTTCTGCAATCAGCCCTCTCATACTCTCATCTTTTATCAAGTAGTTGACTCAGTTGTTCCCTGATAACCACCCAACTGCTCAAACCAATGCTCTCATAAACTCCAACTTTCCACTAAGCTCTATACATCTCCATATTGCCCTCATTATTTCCATAATTAATTTCATCATAAGCTATATATTTCCTCATGAGAAAGAGAAATCATCTTGACAACATTGCCAAAGATATTCTCTTCAAATCTGTAGATGAATCCATATTTCCTAGAATAAGGAAATGTGAAACTGCCAAGGATGTTTGGGATGAGTTAACAAAGATAGGAGCAGGAGATGAGCAAGAAAAGGATAACAAGCTTACCATAGCCCTCAAGAAGTTTGAGAATTTCAGAATGTTGCCTAGTGAATCAATCCATGAAATGGAGTCTAGATTCTTAAAAATTGTGGCAGAGGTCTCCGACCTAGGGAAAGATCTATCTCAAAAGGAGATTTCCCTCAAGGTTTTAAGAGGTCTGCCCTCAAAGTGGGATATGAAGGTTACTGCTATGAGAGATAGCAGAGATCTTAGGAGTCTCTCAACTGATAAGCTTTTCAGTGATCTTAAAGCTTATGATATTGAGATGAGGGAAATCAAGGATGAAAAGGAAGAAGAATCCAAGACACTATCTCTAGTGTCTGAGCCAAGCACATCAAGATCTACTGAGAAATCCCCCAACAACCTTCTCACCGATGAACAATTTGCAATGTTTGTGAGAAAGTTCAAAAGGTTTATGAAAAAGGAGACAACTGCTCCAAAGATGTTGTACAATCTGCCCCCTAAGAGACCAGGGAGACCCCAATCCTGTGAAGATAATGTCCTATGCTATAACTGTAGACAGCCAGGACATTACAAAAATGAATGCCCTCTTCCATTGGCACACAAGTATCAAAGGCAGCAGGCAACTGCTCAACAAGCTGGATATAAAAAGGACTTCAAAGGTAAACGTCAAGCCTTTGTAAGTGAAAAGAAGAAAGAAGACTCCCATAGTGATGAGGAAAGCAGCTCCAGTGATGAAAGCTCTTCATCTGAAAGCTCAGAGGAAGCATTACTCTGCCTTGGAGCCTGGCAGGTCACTGAAGAAGATAGTAATTGGCTTAATGAGCCTATCACAAACACATGGAAAACTGATGGAGGAAGCTGCTCACTCACATGTCTCATGGAAGACGATCACTTCAATGATGTTGAGGTAACATCTTGCTCTTCCTATAGCTCTAGTGATTCTGAACCATCAAATATTACATTGGAGTCATTACTACAAGACATCCAAAAAGTCCAAAATCACCATGTTCTCCTAAGATCTGAAAATGATAGATTAAAACAAGACATTAAGGTTATTCATGCTAAACTGTTAGATGCCTTAACAAAAAATAATGTCTTAGTAGAAGAGAACAAAGAGCTAAAAAATAAAATGAATAACTCCAGCATGGATAGTAAAACTTGTGACCCTACTGATGAAGTTATTTTACATAGGAAGAGAAGAGGTCTCGGGTACAGATCCCCCACCAGACTCACTCAAAACTCCCCATCCAGTAGCCAACAAACAAACACAAGAAAGCTAATCTACCAAAAGTCCCATTCCCAATACATTCCCAAAGAAAAGAACCAGCCAGCTCCCAAATCCAAATCCAAATCCCTGTATAAACAAACATTTCCTAACCACCAAAACCCAAGAACCCGTTGGCAACCAATCAATAAGACCAACCACATCCAAAATATTAAGCAGACTCCTCCAAAAGTGAATAATCCATTTCTCACATCAAGAAGGAAAAGGATTAACAAATACATAGCCATCCCCCATGATTACAACATATCAAATGGCTATAAACCAATATGCTTAGAGTTAAATGAATCTAGATGGGCATGGATGACCAAACTTATACAAGGGAAAATGCCCACTAACATGTGGGCTACTGCTCAACACTGATGAATACAGGAAGGTGTTAGAGCAGCTGACTCACAAGTATGGTACACAGACTCAGGCTGCTCCAGGAACATGACAGGGAGCAAGAGGCTACTGTCTAACTATGTTGCTGGAGAAGAACCCAAAGTTACATTTGGGAATGTAGAAAAGAAAGGAGAAACCAAAGGAGTTGGAGACCTATCAATCATAGGACTCATAATCCAAAACATATCATATGTTAAAGGTTTAAAGTTCAATCTCATAAGCAAAAGTCAGCTCTGTGACAATGGCTATAATGTGCATTCTCCAAAGACATCTGCTTGATTAGAGATGTCAAAAATGATAAAATTGTGCTCTCTTGTAGAAGGAAGAAGGACATGTATGTTGTTGATTGGAGCTCAGCTAAGGAAGGAATCTGCTTAGTGACAAAGGTAGATTCAAATTTAAGTTGGGAATGGCACAACAAGCTCAGCCATCTCAACTTCAAAACCATCAACAAATTGTCCAGAAAAGGATTGGTGAAGGGACTTCCAGAAATCAATTTCAAGAAAGACCACTTATGTGATGCATGTCAAAAAGGGAAGCAAACAAAGGTATCATTCAAATCCAAAGAAGCAGAATCATCAACTAGACCGTTAAGCCTACTACATTTTGACATGTTTAGACCAGTTGAACAGACAAGCTTAAGTGGCAGAAGGTACACCTTGGTTATAGTAGATGATTACTCCAGATACACATGGACCTTATTCCTCAAGAAGAAGAATGAAACAGAAAAGAAGCTCCCTGAACTGATGAAATTGATCCAAAATGAGAAAAGTCTATCAATTCAAAAGATCCGGTCAGATAGAGGTACTGAGTTTCTAAACTCAATAGTAATTCAGAGTTGTGAAGAAAATGGAATTCACCACCAAACCTCAGCTGCTAGAACATCTCAACAAAATGGTGTTGCTGAAAGAAGGAATACGACACTTAAGTAGGCTGGAAGAACAATTCTTGAAGCAGTAGGACTGCCCAAAAGGTTTTGGGCAGAGGCAATCAATACGGTATGCTACACCCAGAATAGAAGTCTTATTCACAAGACTTACAAAAAGACTTCATATGAACTGTGGAAGGAAAGGAAGCCAAATGTTAGTCACTTCCGTATATTTGGATGCAAATGTTTCATTCTAAACAATGGAAAGGACTATCTCAAGCCTTTTGATCCTAAATATGATGAAGGGATCTTCCTGGGCTACTCAGCTACAAGCAAGGCATTCCGGGTCCTTAACAAAAGAACTTTGGTTGTAGAAGAATCAATTCATGTGGTCTTTGAAAACCACTCCACTTCTCATGAAAAGAATGAAGGTGAGCCATCTAAATCAAAGAAGTATACTGGAAAGGCTCCAAGCTGCCTTCCCAGTAATGATATTCAAAAAGATGGAAGGATTCTGGAAGCAGCAGTTGACTCAAATGGCAGCCCTCTGCCAGCAGTTGACTCAAGCTGCAGCCCTCTGCCAGCAGTTGACTCATATGGCAGACCACTGCCAACTGCTAACTCATCCAGAATCAACCTCTCAGACGTTCCAGCTGAATCAAACTCAAGGCTTGAAGTTCGTAATCCCCACACTCTACCAGAGGATAGTGAAGAAGAAGAGGAGGGTGAACAAAAAACCAAAACAGTTCAAACATCTAACATTAGATGGTTGAATAAGCATCCCCCTCA